GACAACTCGGATTATACGAAGAAGAATCTAGTCCAAGTACACATATAAAACAAATGTACAGAATCCATCTTCCTTTAATGAAAATCAAATAATTGAGTGAGCAACTCCAATCGCCTGCTTGGACAAACGTCATCCGACTTTTCCCATTATTTTTCCAACCAAAAACAATAATGAAGATGAATACTAATACCCAATGTTTTTAAAACCGGACCGGACCTTGAACCGGTGAAGGTACTAGTTCAACCGGGTTCAACTACGGTTGAGTCGGATTTTATATAAAATATTTTTTTTTAATTTTACATAATATCCAAAACAATATTAATATATATATATATATAACACTCTTTTTAAGTTTATAATATAAATAATTGAATAATTGAGAAATTCATATGCAATTGTAAATATAACGAGCAACAAACAGAAACATCATTACCATATAAATAGAATGCCATAAAAACAAAAGAATCGAAAACCTTGTTACATACATTGAACGAACAGTATCACAAATTTCTTTTTTTTTTTGAAGTAAAAAGTGAGCAGAGACGGTTCCATTTCCACAAACTCGACATAAAGTTTTATAAGTTCCACATTGAACAGAGACTAAAACAGTACGCTAACAAAGGCATTAGTTCTAAGGTTCCTTTAATATTATGTTTCAAAACCAACATGTCAAAAAACATGGTTCAAGCAAAACCAGAACCAGATGGAGCTACACTATAGCATAAATGGAGCACAGGCGCGGGCAGACCATTTCAGTTTTCTCTTGCAGAAAGCAAAGAAGCAGCAGCAGCTTTTAACAGTATCACAAATTTTGCACTAGTTTTCGAAGAAGAAAGATCAAGTTGAATTTCTACCAAAGAATGAATATCAAAACGTACTATATTAAAAACCAAATCCAGCAGAATCAAGCTGCAATTCACACTAGAATCAAGATCGGCTACAGTTCATCAAATTCCATATATATAAAATCGGGCCATAAAAATCACACAACGAGTGAAGATCCGCAAGGATTTATAATAAACTACAAACTCAAAGATTTAAATTCAATTAAAAGATGAATTAAAAATATAAAGAAATGGGAAGCTTAACCATTATCATCTTACGAGAATAAGGAACTGGAACTCAATGAAATGTTGGTGAGGGAGTGGTGATGAAGGAATCCAAAGTGGAAAAGCCGAAAAGGGATAGGGTTTACTGCTTAAACGTTCGTGAAATAAAAAGAAAAATTGAAAATGGCTTAACCCTGCAAAATCAGAAAATAAATATGGGTTGAAAAAAATCATAAAACGATGACGTTTTGTTTAATTAAAAAAAACACAGAACCGCTTGAACCGATAGAACCACCAGTTCACACCGGTTTTACCGGTTCACAACCAGTTTTACCGGTTTCTACTGGTTCTTTGCACATCCGGTTTTGCATGCTGACTGGACCAGACAGATAATCGGTTCCCGGTTCAACCGGTCGAACCGGCCGGTCCGGTCCGGTTTTAATAACCATGCTAATACCTGTGTAAAAATAAAATCCAGATTCCTTTGCTTTATTATTTCTTAAACCGCTATCCATATATTCACGGCTAGCCAAGCAAGCAATTTTCCACCTTACAAAATTAAATTTATAGAACAAAATACGATGAACAAAATTAAATTCACGGCTAGCCAACCATAGTTCATAAACTAGTAAATTCCATGATTCCATAATCATGAATAATCATATTTTTCAGTGAAAACCGTAATGAGAGAACACATACCATGTAACCATGATTCATAAGCTAGTAAATCAATAATTTCGCTGAAATGTATTTCAAAACATATAAGACAATCATGTAGTACATAAAGAACACACTAGAAGATCCAAGTATTTTTCAAAGGTACTTGGTAGTTATCAAGAATGGAAAACATGAAACTTATGTAATTTGATCGGATTCCAAGATCGAAGTCCTATTAAAATGGATCGATTACTAACGGATATATCAAACATTTAAAGTTGATACTTTAGGACCCATTTATGGTTCAAGTGCATCAGGAAGGTGTTCATGAACCTTTACATCAAAATAATTCAAGATCAAATTCACTGAGAGTGATTCCATTATTTAGGCCAACAAGGGCATTTTAGACATTACGATTTCTAGTGGATTCTTAGCAACTTAAACTAATAAGGATTAATCGATGATTCATGGTATTCAATATTTATGTCAATTTATTAGGATACCAGATCAACTCAAACTGATCAAATCCCAACATTGTGATACATGTCTACCACTTTAATACCGACAGCACTAGTCGAACTGATCATCTTCAGAACCATCGTTGAACAGAGCTTGACGAACTTTACTTATTCCGATTGTATTACCTTAATTTATGAATTGCAATTGTCTCCAAGTTGACCAACGTACTTGAGTCGTACTCTCCAACCTTTAGAGGCGATATAATACTCAGGTTTTCTCAGTGTTTTCAGAATTTATCCAATAACATTCACTTATTTCTAGGTCATTAGGGTATTTAGGTTATTTAGTAATTAAATCCTTCCCAATCACTTCGGAGATTCCAGAGTAATTCAAATGTTTCCAAAATTCGGATACATACGGTACTTCTATTCAGTTCAACTTGGTCATATAATAAAGTGATTTTGGTATTCTAGTTTGATTTATTCATTTCAGAGCTTGAGGGTATTTAGTTATTCCAGTGCTTAGACGTTCTTTGGGTCATTTTACACTTCAGGGGCATTCTAATATAGATCCGGTATTTAAATCAATTATTCCAAGGTTCAAGTGGATCAAGATATGAGTTCTCAGGTCGTCTCCATTATCATAGCCATCCATTGTGCTTTTACACTTTAAGCGTATCATCAACATTCCACTCAATTCTATCAGTGACATTACTTTCGATAAATTAGGCTTGAAAGTATTCTAATTGCTTTAGCGTTCAGGGTATTTTGTTCCTTTGATCAATGGAGGTTATTTAGTTCTTCCATAGCTCGATGACATTTTGGTGATTCTTTTCAATTCAAACATATGCACTATTTCTGATAATTGGTCAAGTATGTCTTTTCTAGGTTATTTTTCACCATTCGGGGAAGTCTTGGTATTTTACAGTACAAGGGCATTTTCGTAATTTTACCTTAAAAGAAATTTATCAAAATTTACATATCTTAAAATGAATTCATTTATTATTGAATCACTGAACTTATAATTATTTCCGATCGATCTTCCAGTTTCTCTTTTTCGAGCCGTCTGATTCTTATATTGTATTTTGTCTTTATTCCAATTTACGTATGAGTCCAATGATAGTTAAATACATCTCATGGACCAATTATTTCCATTCATGCATTTAACATCTATCAATGAGTTCCGAAAAGCATACAAAAGGTAGTAGAGTATTATCTTGATTTTCGTTCCATATTAATCGACCATTTAAACTACATTTGATTGCCCTCAAACTTTAATTCAACGTCCAATTATTCCTTGGATACATAACAAACAATTTTACTTCAGAAACTGAACTTAATCGAAAAACCCAATTTTGATTTCGAAGATAAAACATTGAAAAACAGCTCATCGAGTGCGAATTTGAAAAAACGGACTTCGGATTCGAACTTAGGACATCGAAAAACACAAAATATGACTTTTTTCAAAAAAGTTGACTTAAAAAACGGTCAAAGTGTTGACTTTGACAAGTCTCGATCGGTTGAAGACAGACCCAGATTCGGTTGAGTTGACCGGTTCAGTCCGGTCCAAGCTGGCTGGACCGATTTTTAGAAGCTTCTTGGATCGGCAAGGGATCCCCACGCGCACTGCCGGCACGTGGCAGCGCGTGCGACGGCGACAAAGGCAGTTTTGGGCGGCCGATTACTCCAAACGAAGAAAGTGAACTAAATATTATAACGAAATGCTTACCACAACAGATGCACAACGCACGACGATAGAGCGACGATGAGGGGACATGGTTGCATGGGTTTTGATTGAAACTTCTCAAGGAGTACCGTGGCAATGGCGGTGCAATGAATTAAAACCGAGATCGGTTGAAAATAAAGAGATATAGTTGTGGCCAGTTAGTTTGTAATGAACAATCGATGGCCAAAACTACGACGTATGACAGCATTCCATGGTAAAATACCAAGGGGGTTTTGGTCGTGAGGTGCTGACAATCACGAAGGTATCAACGATGTAGATTATGTGATCGAGAGACGTCGAAATCGACAGCCATGAGTGACGAGGAAGGTTAATAGTTTTGGGTAATTTTCCATCCGATGGGGGTAGGGGGAGAAAGATTTATTTTTCTCAACTTAACACAAAATGGGAAATTTCAAGGTTAAGTCCCTGAACTTCCCAGAGTTTCAACCTGAGCTGCAAGTTTCTAAACTTGCAATTTAGACCCTTAAATTTACTTGAATCAATAAAATTTAGCCCCTAACTTGGGGTGTGACAAAAAACCAATGAATTTAATGGCATGCCATGCCATTCATTGGAATGCCTCTTAGACAAAAACTTCCTCTGCAAACAAGGATGAAAAATTGAAATATTGTAGAACTACCGAGGATGAAAAATTGAAATGTTATAGAACTACCAGACAAGACATGGCACCCTCGATTTTGAGAAAAAAAAAGTTTGTATTGGTTGAATAAATCTCAACTTTATATCCACTTGCAGAAAAGGGCAGCAAACACGCATAATAAGCTCTATCATTACAATAACTTGTACAAGAGAATGAGACGGGTGACGAATGGAAACTTAAAAAGAAAAACAATAACATGAACAGCAAGGGCAATCGTTTATATCATATTATCATAAGTCTCCCATTCCATCTATCTTGTCTACATTCATCTTAACTGTAATGAAGCCAAGGACCAAGAATTTGTACATACCTGTCGTGTTGTGACGCAAAATCCTCTTATGCATGGGAATTCTGTGCAGGGAATTCAGGGAATTCTGTGCAGGGGTGTCTGTGTCAAAACACAGTGGAATATGTCTCAGTACCTGTTGCCAAGGAGATGGAGGAGAAGCTAACAAAATTGAGCTCATATTATTTTCAATAATCATAATAATTGAATATGAATGAGGGGGTAGGGTCTTAATTCATGCTTTCTCCGACAAAGAACAGGATCCAAAACAAGCACTGAACTAACAACAAATTTAGTGATGGGGCAAAAACACAAATGCCCCCACCCCGTACTGCCTATACTAATATCAACCTAAACAACTTTACAATTTATGTCACCACCACAAACCGGTGGCATTTCTTACAAATAAATTTGGACCCAGACAACCCAATGCCAATAAATTTGACCACAAAATGAGTTTAAAATCCAAAGCACTTGCCAATCCCTCCAAATAAGATTGCGGTAGCAAAGTCAAAAGGAAGCTGGTGAAGCGCTGCATGTTTGGTCTGATTGAAAGGCTCGCTCTCACATTATAGAGCAGTTACACTTAGATTCTAGCTTTGGAGGGTTCATACTGTCCATCTTATTTGGAATATCAACATTATGATTTGAAGGCTCATAGGCATTTTCATCATTGACAGTCTTGGTAGGCACAGATTTTACATCAGTTTCTACCCGCCTCTGCCTGACTTTATTAGATTTTGAAGTCCATCTACCAACAGTTCGCCCACGTAAATCTTTCCTGTCAGAAGTGGATTTCCCCAAGATCGTCACAGTTGGCCTGGAACCTTCCAATGGCACAGAACTTTCCCTTTCAATGGCAATGGTAGCTGCCTCGTAGGCAAGATCATGGATAATGGAACTACAGAAAAGTATTGTGTCTGTTGCTTCTTCAAGTGTCAGGCTTCTGGCCTTACTTCCTCCACGACATTCTACCAAGCCAGTTGATTCCTCTGTCAATTAACATAAAAAATCCATCAAGGCTAAACAAAATCTCACTGCAACTCAGTAACAAATCAGAACTGAACTTCAGCAAAGAATCATATGGTGTGCAGCTTTGAGCACTAAATTCTAGAAGGCATTGACATCAAGAAACTGAAAAAATAAACCTTATCCGATCAAAAAATGAATATCATTTCAACAGACACAAGGTCAAATCCATCACTTCTTATGTACGAAAAAGAGTTCAAATAATAAATAAAATTAGTTTGTCACTTCAAATATTGATAAAAATTGCATGGTGGTAAATGGACTTTAACATGATACCAGCACAGGTATGTGTGTGAGCATGATTCATTTCAAAGCAAGCATTAATTTCCAATATTTGAAGTTAAAGCACTCCTAAGCAGAAAACACAACAACTAAAAGGGTCAATCAGGCCATCTAATATAAGGATAATGTCAATGAAAACATCACAGAAACATGCTGGTACCTTTTGGTCCAATGATATTTGATATACCTTTCCCTACGCCAGAGATCAATTGCACTAGAGTGATCTAAAAAGTTGTACTTGTCAGTACATGCCAGTACACTGTTTAGACACTCAATGCGCTTGTCTATCCCTTTTTGACCTTTTTTGTGAAGAGTAGTTAGGAGGAAGAAATACCCAAATTTTATGATCATGATTCAATGATAAAAATGATTTGGGGAATAATGGCAACGTTCACTTAAAAAAAATAATGGCAGTAGCTGCCAATTAAAGCAATTATCTGAAGACCACGAATTGGCAACATATCCATGGGGATAATCTAAAATTCAAACAACTCATACTCTTATCTCTTATTGAAGCCTCAAAAGTTCATTCAAAACAAAAAGGCAATCCTCACATCCATTATCAGAGCAGTAATTGCCTTATCCACAGCTTTCCAAGAATTGGTAAGTAATCGGCCGCTGAAAATTGGTGTAGGAAAACCTTATGAAGGTTGATTGAACTTAAACCATGTAACTTAACAGATTTGAAACTAGTATGACTGACAAAACTTGTGCTTCCCAAGAGTATAACTTTTATTAGAAAGGCCAAAAAGATCAAAAATAATATGGCAGTTTCCTTATTCATGATTAACTTTTGACCATTTGTAAGCCAACCTAAACGCACAATGTTAAAATTGCACCTGCTAAAAGACAAGTGGTAAGTTTGATCACAGACCTAGGTATAATTACAAACTTGAACCTCAACCCCAAAGGAAAAGAAAAAAGGGGTCAATCATGAAGGGTAATCCATGAGGGATTACAAGTAGCTCTTAGGGTTTCTATTTACTGCTCTTATAAATAAAACTCCAAGCAAGTAACAATGGTTGAAGAAAGAATAGTCTGATTTTCAAAAGGACTAGCATGGATAGTTCATGAAGGATTAAACATGCTGCATCCTAAAATTGTTTACGACAAACGGTAATGACCATATAAAAAATCTTCTCAAGAATGGAAGTAAGTTTTTACTTCAAGTTGAAAGTACGAAGTAGATGGAAAGCCGCAATGAAATAATTACATACCTAAAACACCAACTGCGTGATCTGACGTATCATGCTCCTCAACAGAAGCAGTAATATCCACATCTAAAGGTATAGCATCAGACAGATCCATGGATCTCTTCTTTTTCCTCTCAGAATTTGGAGACAAACTATCAAGTTCTGAACTGTAGGAACTCCGGCAGGATTTGTCAATTTTTATTTCTGAGATTGTAGTCAAACAGGTGTGGCCAGCACCCTCAACAGCATCTACTCCATCACGAATATCATTTTGCATACCGTGTTCTTCAAGAGTAGGATCTAGAGTGGTAGGTAATGCTTCAACACTTGAGGTTATCCTGGCATTACTTGAAAAGTTATCTCCGTTTTCATATGAACCACCATCATCATTGAGAGGAAATGGTGCTGCTGAAGTGTCCTCTAATGGCTCAGAGGTTAAAGTATCGATTACTCTGCTACTTTCATTCCACTCAATACTATCAGTTTTGGAAATTGCAGCACCAGGGAATGATGAATCTGCCTCTGAATTTTCTGAAGCTTTGGCTTGAGAAACAACAGCTATTTCCTCTGCTTCCTCAAATTTATGACCACGAACAGAACTCTCAAAGTTCTCATCATTTGTGCTAGATGCAAGACTTAATGCTTGGTAATAATTGCTTGAACTTTGAGACAAAGTAAAGCTTTGAGGCTTTGAATTCAAGTCATATCTGTAATTCTCCAACTCATATTTTCTAGCATTCAATTGTACACATGTATCAGTTTGTCTAGATGAGCTCAATTCGACAGAGGATGATACAGAGACACTCCCGTGTCCAACAGAGCTTCTGAAACTGTTAGAACTGTCTCTTGCATAAGAAAGATCTTCTGATGGTATGGTAGAAAAGGTCCTACCTAAAACAACAGGCCCCTTGCTACTGCCTGACCTCTTTAACAGCACTGAAATACCTACAACTTCTGATGTATTAACCTTCAAACCAGAATGTTCATCAGAGTAATGCCACTGCTGACATCCAGTATCCCTATCAAGTATAGAATAACCAACAGTTGGTTCAGCCATCTCTTGCTGATAACCAAGCCTCTGCTCACCTCCCTCCGCCAGAGAACCTCCAAGAGAATTTTCTTGAGAGAATTTTTCACTTTGCTTGATAGTTTTTTCATGCTGAGAAATCCAGGGTTCAACTGCATCAGTAACTTGCATCGGTGAATCAGATGGATGAATTGTGATTTCCAATTCAGGAATGGGTTTATTCTCTTCAGAAGCCTTCATAAATAACCCTGGGTACTTCTCTGTATCAGAAATGTCACTAGCAACTGTATCATGTTGCCTAGTGCAATCTGTGCAAAGACTGGTTTCTTTTTCAACCTGCTCAATTACAAGATACCTGCAACCACAATTAGAACAAATTTTTGTATTTTCAAAACTATCAACTTCTGAAAGATCTCCCCTGTTACACAGAGCATCAGAATTTGAAGTCATTTCCACTTTAAGACCATGATGACTAAACTCCCCAGAGTGGTCGGGGTCACATTGGATTTTAGAGTCTCTATTAGCTTCTTCGATGAGAATATTAAGTGAATCATTACGTGTTTCATAGCTAGCATCCTGGTGTACTGCATCCATCTTATCAAAGGCAAAAGCCTCTTCTAGAACATTGGCATAAGGTCCCCTACTGGATTCACTTGCCAGGTCATCATGCTGGTCACTTCCTTCAGTATCAAGCACAGCACTTGAACCTTGATGACAATTTGCATTACTGTTGGTGGTAACAGAGGAATTTTTGACATCAAAGAACTATGTGCAGAACTGCCCTTCCCAACATAAAAAGTGGTACTTGGAACACTAGATAATAGAGGTCTGAACATATTTGGAGGACTCTTCCGATGATCCTGCATCAAAATATTGATTACAATAAACTATAGGGTTTGTTTATGACCATGCACACTTGCTTTGCATTAGTTATGCACAAAAAAGTCTAATTGGGAACAAGTAAATGCATGAGAGGTAACAACACACCACATGAATTCTTTTACAACCATCATAAATTTCTTTTGGCTTAGTAAAGATATTGACCATGCAGATTGCATTGAAGTTCTTGAGTTATTGAACACATTAAAACACATCAAAAGAAAGCTAATTGCTCCGAAAGTTTACTCAAATACGAAATGTGATTCATAGAATGCACTAATTAAACAGGAAATTCTGGAGATTTTACTTTCTTTCCCCTTTTAGACATACCAGATTTAATTAGGAACTGAAATTTTCAATGGTCACTGCCAAAAACTTCATCCAACAATTAATTCTGACTATAACTCTCACACACAATGCTTACTAACTAGTAGGATCACATCAAACCCATCAATTTAAATTATACCATCAAGTTTGCAACCTCTAGATATACGGCATTATTGGAACATGACACAGGAATTTGAGAATACCGAGAGAACACAGTTTCACATTCCAACGAAAATGAAAACATTTTACATTGAGCTTCCGTATCTCTTCTCCATTACTAGATTGTCTAAATCAATACTGTCTGTATCAGTAAAACATCAGGAACAAAAACAGTCTTCCGTTGCAAGCCGTTCAGAAAGGAATTAAATAAACTAGGAGCAAATAAAGCAAGGTAGGTTCAGAACATTAGAGCAGAAAACTAACTATTTATATTTCAACACTTGTATATGGACCCGAACTGATGTAACAGATGCATATTAACCTAAAAAGTAATAAAATACCATTTGACGAAGAGCAGCATCAAAGGAACGTTTTGGAGCAGAACTTGGTGATAACACTCTAGCTGATTTCTTGTTAAAGGTTGCCCCCCTGTTATTTGTGTATGTACCAAGCCTCCTTGGAACAGAAAGGGTAGATCCACTTAGAGGAATAGATTGTAGAGGGTCTACATCATCATCACCAGATGATGCTATAGACCCTCTACTGTATGAACTTAATTGGTCTCGGTCATGACTATGAGATGAACTGACACTTCTAGAGGCAGTTGGGGACATCGATTTCCTGCCAAACCTTGCCTCCCTTCCGTTTCTAGACGCAGGTGAGGAACCCCTCACATACGATGCTGGTCGATCACCCAGAGAAGTACGAAGATTAGGTGGTGCATCTAAGGAGAAACCGGGGATATTTGACTGCCAAGCCCTTATTTTTGGTGATGTAGAGTTTCCACTACTTGTCCTTATAGGAGATGCTCCCCTTCTCCCTGTGCTTGTCCTTTGAGGAGTAGGTGTGGAAGACCTTTGAGAGGGTGTTGAACATCTACTAGGGGAAGGAGATGGTCTTCGAGTTGGAGAACATTGCCTTATTGGACTGGACTGAGGTGCTGAAGATGGCCTTCCTCTAGATTGGAGTGTGCTACTCGTAGACCGAGGTGATGGACTTAAACGATTTGGACTTGCACTGCCCCTACTGCTTCTATAACTCTTGTCCATCTGCAATATTTTCATAGAGGACGAATGGTGAAGATTTAGAAAGAATAAGATCAGACTTTAAGAGAAAACTTATAATGAAATGTTGATGAACTATTTCATCAACACACATACTTTCATTCCATAAGAGTGATATGATAACCTACTGTGGATGATCTTGATATGGAAATAGGTTGAGTCCGAGGTCTACCCCTGCGAGCATGGTTAGCTGGAGGTGGCTCATCATCCAATGAAGGAAAAAGGGGGGTGTCAGGTGGAGTTAATAACCTTCAAAATCACCAAGAATGACACTTTGTGAGGACCAAAAAACTTCAAGTTAGGATAACAGCACAATAGCGTGCAATGAATGAAATAAAAATGACCAAATAATACTAATTTCTTGCTGAGGCCATTGGCAATTACTTAATTCTAACATACACCAGAACAAGAACACGCCAACTTACATGCAGATTATATTACTATTTCAGCTTAGTTCCAAACCAAAAAGTTCATCATATCACAGTTCTAAACAAAACGTTCAAAAATCACAAAGATGAAATTATGACCTACCATTCATAGTCATTTTTCTCTTCATCTGCATCAAGGAGTTCACTAGTCTCCCCTCGAACAGGAACAGATACTCCAAGTTTGAAATCTGAAAAATATTTCAGTTTTGTAGCTGCAAACAATATTTCAAAACCAAAGAAAACAAAAAATGACGTTAGCTTGCAGACACTAGTCTGTTTCCTTAATTCACCAGCGAATATGCCCATACAACTGAAATCAAAAGGCAAAACAGAAAATTACAAAATGAATCTTCCATGTCATCCGAGGACTGAATCAAAAAATTATCCCTTTCTTTGGACTGCATTTCATTGAACAAAGCAAGGTCATCATCTTTTTCGTGTACATTTAACCCGCCCTCCAAACTGCACCATCTTTTGTGGGTTCCCCCTATAAGCTCCCTCGCTGGAGAGTGTCTCAATGCTGGAGAAGGAGGCATCTCTGCTGCCCTAATCTACCCCACTGAAAGAATCACAGCAATCCCTCCACCAATCTAGTAATTAACCAGTAATCTTGCCCAATAATTTACTCCCAACTCACCCTTTCCGTGTTTCTTCCAAGTAACAAATGCAGTCAACTTGAAAATATCTCAAAACAAGGGTGCAATGCCCGCATTGGAATAGAGTGATTGATAAAAAATCAGCAGCAGTAACTGAACAATAACGACGAATTTGAGATGGAAAATAGCCACCAAGCAGAACATTTCCAGCGCCGCTCAAAATTAGTGACCAAGTCAACGCACCTGTAGACACAATTTTATCCGCATCATTTAAAATGATTTCAGTAATGAGGCTAGAGTGAATTAGAATTTTATTTTTGTTGAAAATCCATTTCCGCTCTCGAATTTTGGTCTTGAGATGTGAGATCTGAATATTAGAGTTGAAGTTGAAACTTATTAAGAGATTTTTTTTTGGAGCTAGGATTTGAAGCTAAAAACAGAGAACCCGAAATCTTAGATCAAGAAATTAAGGTTAGGATAAAAGCGAAACAAAAGCAAGAAATGGATTCGCTCTTGATGAATTTATGATAACCCGTTGATTTAAACAAAGCAAAAGAATTGACAAGACCAACTTCAACAAACCCAGAAAATGTCGCAATTCTCCAGCAAATCACAAGAATAAACCATAAGTTTTTTTACTGTTTCATTTTCTTTCTTCCAAAAAATCAACAGAGAAAATGAGCAGAATAGAAGCAGATAATCATCGGCAAAGGAGGGAAAAAATCAAACATTAGCTGTCAGTAGATTAAGCTGTTTTAGGAATTTAAAAGGATTCTTAGGTTCGGGTTGATGTTTTCAAAATCAAAAACGGTTTAATACCTTGAGGAGGACCGGAAGACAGTTCATCTTAAATCCAGCGACAATCTAACGGCAGAATGTGGCGTTTAAAGTGTTAGCAACAGCAGGTCTCAGGCTTAGATTTAGAGGTTTCGGTGTTGATTTTGAGAAAATTATGCTGCTTTCTGGGTTTACAAGCTCAAAAGGAATATTCTTGTCAAAATTGTGAAGTTACTACATTTAAGGACAGCCGTGAACGGTGGTTGCCACGACGGCAGAAACTACAGTGGTACAAGAAACTGAGGGTAATAAGATTTTGTTTTTTTGGTTAAGAGGTAACAGATAATTTTTTAACATAATAAAAGATACCAGTTATAAAGCTGCTCGAGTCGGGTTGCGCAGGGTCCGCGCAGGGACCAATTCGTCCACCCGACCCGATTGCTTCATCCTCTTTTTCTTTTTTTAATATTCTTTTAATTGATCGAAATTTTGTAAATGTTTTTTTCCTATTTTAGGTTAATCGGATCTTATCAACTCTTAGGACATCTCATGTAGGGATATTTAAAATATATAATATAAAAATTAACTTTCAAAGTTGCATAAAAAAATATTATTTTAGTTTTTATTATTATTCTAAAATACTCTAATTTTTAATATTTTAATTTTTAAGTAAAATAATATTTATTAAATAAAAAATATTTGTTAACTTGACATGTCATTTTTATATATTCTAAATTACTAACGTATCATATAACATGTATCACGATTCATGTCATCCATAATAATAACATGATATATATTAAATCATACGATGTGATGATGTGATATATGTTATATCATATAAGATGACGACATAGTATGTATCAAGTCATTTAATATGATAATATGACATTATTATATCACCCGAGAATTAAGATGATAGTATAATATATGTCATGTCATCTAATATAATGATGTGATATGTGAGCTTGTAACACATTAACAATTAAGTATATATAAAAATATTACGTCAATAATATGCGTTAATAATTAGCTAACCAACAATATTCTTATAACATGAATTATTTTGAAAAAAAATTAAAATATCATAGGTTAGAATATTCAAAAGAGAAAAAAAATAGACTAAATGATATTTTTAATAGTTTGAGGTGTGATAACAAGATAGTATACATTTGTAATTTTTTAATTATTGATAAAGTAAATATATTCCTATAAACGAGATAGCACAAACCTAAAATCTTAAGGAAGAATAACACTCCTTTATATAATTAAAATCATTAAAAAAATCAACTGAAATAACCATTTAAATAAATATTAGAGATAAAATTTAACATTATACCTTTTAAATTCATATATAATACTACATATTATATTTAGCTAATAGGTAATTTTCCTTAGAAAAAAGTTTATAGGTAATTTTGATATGAGATAACCACATGATTGATAATTTATGTATAGTTACTTTAGTTTTTATTTAATTAAAATGTGGTCACCACGGGTTAATTGTCATTAATAATTAAGTGACATGGTATTTTGGTATAATCACACATTTGGTCATTGTTATTTACATATTATCTTAATTTAGTTTTGCTTTTAATAAAGTAAAAAAATAATTCTCTCGAATGATATCACATATCACTAGTATCATGTGTCACCATTCGATTGGGGGTTTATGTTTAATGTAATTTAATATATTTATTTTTTCAATTCCACTAACATGAGGGTGACACGTGTCACATGTGGTTGAAAGAAAATAAAGCAAAACAAATTGGGGTCAAAGAGATTTAAACTTTAGTTATTTGGGAAATCAAGCATGTACCTACCAACCATTGAGTTAAAGCTAATGTTTGTTAAAAAATAGACAACATGATGTATATATTTTATATATTAGTGTATAAACATTTAACTTAAATTCATAATATTTTATATACATTAACTTCAAAAAATATTTTTATATTAACTTATTAAATATATTTTATTTTTAACTTAATTTTAAAATAATTTATTTTTTTATTTTAATTTAAAAATATATATTTTATTCATATCTAAACTTTCTAAAATATATTTTATTATTATTTTAAATTTTCAAAATATATATTTTATCTTAATTTATTAAATATATTATATTGTTACTTTAAATTATTAATTATATTTTATTCTTATCTTACTTTTTTTATTAAGCTAAGGTGATTACAAAATAGTACTTGTTCTAAATACTCTCAACTGTAGTCGTTGGTGCTTGAACTCGTGACCTCTAGGAACAACAACGATTCATTTAATAACTTAGGTAAGTTGATTCGTGCATTATTATCTTAACTTTAAACTATTTTAACATAATATATATATATATATACCTAGTGTGGACTACTAGTTAGTTTAAAATTTATTTATTTTTCACAATTGAGGGGATTAATAGATCATATTTTATTTTTTCTAATTTTTTTTGTAATATTAATAAAATTACTTGGAAGGACCAATGCTCCTTTTTGTTCCTACGGTGGTCGTTTGCACGAATTGTTTTTACGATAAATTCTTCAAAAATGTTGTATTTTTATTTTAACCACTTATTATTAAATTTTATAAAAGAAATTATTAAAGATAATAATATCATCTGATTTAAAAATAATTTTAATTCAAAATTTTCGCATTTATATTATTTTTATCGTTGTTTTAATTTTTAAAACCTATTTTTAAACTCTATTTTCTTATCTAATTAAACCCGTAAAACAACAATTGTTTTTCTACATCCAAACAAATCAATCTAACCACAAACAAATTCACCTCAGTTGTTCACTTTAGCTTAATAAAAATATTTTTTTTATCCCTAGCTCTAATATATACTAAGATTTAATTATATAGTGTGGATTAAGATATAATTATATAATGTAAAATTAAAAAAAATTACACCTTTTAAGATCGTTGAATGAGAAAAAATCAAATATTAAGATTAATATTAATAAATGAAAAGATATTAACTGAAAAAATAATGTGTTAATCTCAACTTTTGATTTTACCTTACCCAACGATCTTAAAAAAATATAAAATTAAATAAAAATTTTACGGTAAGTGTAAGTTGATATAGTCCTATATAGGCTATATATAATATTTTCAAAAGTTTAGATGGGAGAATAATATTATAATATATAGAAAAGAAGAGAAGATAGGTTATCCATAAGGCCAAATTACGACAAATAATGTGATAATTAGCTAAAGCCAAGTCCAGTCATGGAATTATGGAAGGATTAATGACGTTGACGTTATTGGTGGGTAGGTGGGTAGGTGGGTAGGACAGATCTTAGATGCCATTGTCTTCCAATGATGTCCCAACTGATCTTTATTCTTAGTTTATAATTCATTTAGGTTAATAACTATCCTAATCGAATATCTTAGTTTATAATTAGCTCGTGTATTAAAATTAGATCTTTAAACAATTATCTCGATTGAATATTTTAATTTACAATTATCCTAGTTGAATTGAGGTAAGTTCATTTTAAATTAACCATTTTAAAATTATAATTATCCTAAAACTTAATCCATGAGGATAATTAATTATAATTGTGCAAACTGATTTAATTGAATTATGTTAATAAGTATCCTAATTGGATAGTTTATTTTATAAATATTCGTAGGGATGTGCATGGGTCGGGTTGGGTCGGATTTTTGGTCCACTCGACCCGACCCGAGAATAAGGAATCCTCCACCCGAGATCCGACCCGACCAGATATATAACTTAAAAACCCGGCCTAATATAATAAAATATTATTTTTATTCAAAAAATAGTGAATTAATTGAAAAAATAATATATAGAGTGGTATTATTGTAATTATTCCTAAATATATAAGGTAAAATTATATTTTTTTTTGGGTCGGTAGAGTATTTTTCACCCTAAATCCGAACCCAAAATTAAAAAAAATTGTCTCGATCAGGTCAGATTGGGTCGAAACCCGTCAAGTTTGGGTCCCTTGTCCATCCCTAAATATTCATACATTAAAATTGGACATTTTAAAATGATTATCCTAACAAAATATTTTAGTTATAAGAATATAAGTATTTTTTTTATTAATATAGGGTTCTTACAAGTTGTAGTATCTGTTTTAAATACTCTCAATCATTTGACAATGAACGTTTAAATACCCTACCGTCTCTGGTGCTCGAAAGTGAGACCTTTAGGAATAACAATCATTTTTTTATCAATGAGATAACTTGATTCATGCAAAATATACGCATCTTAATTGAATATTTTATTTTATACTTGTATAACCTAGTTTAAATTCAATTTTGCTAATAACTATAATAATTGAATATTTTAGTTTAAAATTATCTTAATTAAATTAAAATTAGTTATTTCTAAATTATGTTTTATTTACCTAATTTAAATTTGGGTTAATTTGAATTATTCTAATCATACAAACCTAATTGTCCTCTCACATTATTTTTAAATTATGTAAATATTTTATTTTATTCAAGATAATTATTCAATAATAAATATTCTTTTTTAAAATATATTAACCAATAACTATTAAGCTTTTTCTGAATTAAGTATAGACATATATGGATTGACAATAAAATAAAATAAAAAGCCGACATAATAAGTTGTATAATTCGTTTAACTTAATACTTGGAAGCCCATCACAAAATCTACTATATAAATAATTAAATCTGATATTGTGAACATTATATACAATGAAATTTGATCAAAAGATTTCTTTAAAAATATTTAATTAATATATTAATTAATTTTATCATTACTTAATTATATGGAATAAATTGCTAATCGGAGTTTTAATTTATGATTATAAAAATTTAATAGAAAGTAGTTTCGTTCAACTAACAATCAGTTGATCTGATAAGATTAGACACTATATTTCTAAAGTAATACCAGAAGTCTAAATCTTAGTATTATGAATGGAATAAATTATATTAAAAGGGTTGTCGTCATAACGACCTTTTATAATATATAATTTAAATTAATTAATCAATAGATAAAATATTGATAATTATAATAAAAATAATCTCAACCAAATTTTTAATGTATTAATAAATAATATTATTTTAACTTTTAATAATATTAAATTTTCAGATCTTTGACTAGCCTTCTTCTTTATTGTAAAAAAACAAAATCATATATTTAATTTTAATATTATACTTACGTTAGATTGATATTTACTTTTTTTTAGTTAAAGTGTTGATCGCGAGTTGAGCAGTGTCCGACTCGTATTCGTTAAAAAAGTTATTGTTCGACTCAACTAGCTACTCGTTAAGCTCGATAAATTTTGTTTGACTTGTGCTCATTAAAAGTAACTTGTTGGTTAACTCGCTGCTTTTTGCTCGACT